TCTATTAAAATAGGATTGTTCTAAGGCACATCTAGGTGTGCTCTAATTATTGCCCATGTAAGTGACTCAATCAAACTTGAAACGAAAAAGGAAAAAGGCAAAAAACAAAATGCTTGCACGAATCTTTGCGTAAAATCAATGGCATAGGACTTAGATGTGCAATACTTAAAGCACGTCTAGGTGTGTTTTAGCAAAACCCATAAAAATATTAGTTATGTACATAAATTTTTACAATGATAGGCATCAAAACATATATTTTATAATATGATAATCATTTATTTGAAAAATCTTAGACATGTATAAAAATATACCTGTGTGTACGAAAAATATATACTTGTTTTGAAAACACCGCGAAGAAAGCCAAAAAACAATTAAAGAAAATAAGAAACCATTGAAAACACCAAAAATCAAGAAAACAAACGAATTATAAGGAAGAAAAATAAAAAAAATAATGGTGCAAGAACTAAAAAGTAACCGACGTATACCAAAGATAAAAACAAAATAAGAACCAAAGAAACCAATGAAGAAATATTGAAAATTGAAGAAAAAAGGAAAGAAAACTAAAGTGACGAATTAGCGAAGCAACCACGAGCGAGTGAGCGAACGACAAGGCTGGCCTTGTACTAAATCATGATTGGAAATCTTTCACGCGAGTGCTTTCATCTCGTGATAAGTCTTGCGGGGCAGCGCTTAGTCTCGCTTATGCGAGGGATCACCATAAATGGGTCAGCCCATTTAGCTTCGATACAGTTTCATCTCGCTTCTGTTGTTTCATTCTTTCATTGTTTTGTCTTGTTTTCAAAAACATTGTAAATACATATATTTCAAACCATCAGTAACTCAAACATTAACAAACTTAAATTGAGAAAGGTTTAGCATAGTTAATAAATTGTTTAGCTTAACTAAAAACTGATAGCATTAAGGAACATGTTTGTGAAATTTTTAAAAGTATTCACATGATTCAGCAAATGCACGTGACATTTTTTTACAACTTTTGAAAACCTTTGTGTAATTCAAAAAATGTTTTGAACCATTCAAAAAAATGTACATCACATTTTAAAAAATGTTGAAATGTTTAAAAAATATGTGCATGGCATGTCTTTTTAAATGTTTATGCAATCTAGAAAAATGTTTGCAGATTTTAATAAAAATCTTTCATATCATAAAAAAGTGTTTCAATGTGTATTTGAAAAACTTGTTTAAAACGTTCTCAAAATCATGTGTTTGAAAAATGTTAAATGTATACAAAGAACTATTTTTGATGTATATATCAAATTTCAATGCGTACGAAAAACAGTAGGAATCAAAACCTATATTAAAAAAATTATAGTCATGTATTTGAAAATTCTTAAACATGTATAAAAAACATTCCTGATGTATTTGAAAAATGTAGATTTTGCATGAAAAATATAGACATGTGTTTGTAAAAAGGAATGGAAAAAAGGAAATTGTTTATGTCATTAAAAAATGGTCAACATGTATTTGAAAAGGTTTACCATGTATTCGATTTTTTTTCGAACCATGTGTCAAGAAAATGTACATCGTGTATTTATAAAATGGCCGACTTGTATAAAAAAAATGTTCCACTGGTACAATGAAAATATATATTGTGTAAAAGTAGACATTTTTAGAAATAAATTAGAATAAAAAACAAAGAAAACCGTGATGAAACAAAGAAGTACAAAACCCCGATGAAGAAAAGCAAAGAAATAAACCCCCAAAGAAGACCATGCAGAACAGTGGAAACAGAAAACCATACAACAGTGCTGGTACAAGACACGACCTCGACACGCCAGAGGCGTGGCCAGGCTATACTATGAGATATAGCCCTTGTGTGCAGCGGACACAATTGACGTACGAAATCATGGGCTGTGGGTTTATTCTCATAAAAATCAAGAGGTTTTGTGCAAAAGTTCATGACGGACCAAGAAACTTACCCCCCCCCCCTATTTATTACTAGCATAGAGCTCGTGCGCTGTAACGGACGAAATTTCTTTTTCCAAACACCTCTAACCCAATAACCATGAGTCAAGACCTCAATAGGTCCATGTGCATACCATCTATGTTGCCACTTATCTTCCTTCTTAATCTTGCCGATGGTGGCCTCAGTGCTGACACATTCACAATGCGTTTAAATATGGCCAATCCTAAGTTCTCTCTCCGCATAAGATGAGAGATTTGCTTTCTTTTCCGCCTGCGATGTTTCACCGAGGTGTGCATACATGGTTATAAATGATTCTTTTGTCTCCAATGTGCTTTTGTTGAGGTGTTGATTTTCAATCCGGATCTACACCGGTACGAAAGAAAAACGTATCGTGCACTATTGTTTAAGGTTGCACCCTAAATAGCATTATAAAAATGTTTAACTAATAAGACAACATCACATCTAGATCACATTTTTCTAACCAATTTTCATATATAACATGTCAAAATTGGAGTTAGGATTTAAAATATATAGATATTAAAAAACATTTGATTTTGCCAAAAAATAACGTTATTTTCTAAATGGTCCGCGAGTTTATTAACCAAAATATTACAGGGGTTTCTGCAAAAAACCAAAACATTTTCTAGAATCACTTAAAACATGACCACTGGTTAATTAACCGAAAGATAAGGGGGTTTTCTATAAAAAGCAAATATTTTTTCTAGACTCACTTAAAACAAGAACGCGGGTTGATTTGGAGAAACAGTAGGGGATTTTCTCCAAAATGCACGATGGACGGGCAGAAACGCTTCTTCCTTTAGGTATAGTTATTAACCAAAATATTAGAGGGGTTTCTGCAAAAAAAACATTTTTTAGAATCACTTAAAACAGGACCATGGATTAATTAACCGAAAGATCATGGGGTTTTCTATAAAAAGTGAATATTTTTCTAGACTCACTTAAAACAAGAACGCGGGTTGATTTGGAGAAAGGGTAGGGGATTTTCTCCAAAATGCATGATGGACGGGCAGAAACGCTTCTTCCTTTCGGTATAATATAGGTAGAAATTATGCCAGGTGTCACAAAAGATTGGAATTATGATTTATGCCAAAAGAAAATATATTTTAATGCATGAAACTTGAAGTGCTCAAATCTAAAAACAAAGTTCAGATTTGAGATCTGGTCAAGAATTCTTGGAACATGGTTACATGCACACCCATTAGAACGAAAATCAACTTTTTTTTTTAGAAAAACAAAGCAAAAATCTTTTGTTTAACATACATAGTGGACTCAGTGTACTCGCGTGTGAATATCATAAAGAAATGACATCTGTCATGGTCAGAGCAAAAATGATGAAATAGATTGTAAGGTCTCGACTCTTCACTAAAAATACAACGGGTGTCAATAATTTATGAAACTTCTCAGGTGAGTAGAACGGTCGACCAGGTTTGAACCCCCAAAATTTCAGAAATTTAAAATTTCCCTGGTATTTTTTCTACTGCATTTTCTGTTCACGTGAGTAAGCTCGTGGAACCAGGTTTACGCAGAAATCACTGTTTTGACCTAAGGACGAAATCAATTCACAAACTGAACTGTCTTGAAATTTTTTTCATCCAACTGACTTTTTTTATGGCGCCCGACAGTTAGGCGCTACACTATACTATGCAGCGCCTAGCACACTGGCGCTACACATCTGGACAGCGTGGCACCCCGGAGCCAGGCCTGGCCCCACCCCTAATGGTGCAGCGCCTAGGCGAAAGGCGCTACACTATCATATGCAGCGTCTAGACGAAAGGTGCTACACATGCACTTACTAACCGCCTCGAGGCAACAGAAAACAAAGCTGAAAAATGCTAAGTCAGTGTGTAGGAAATTGATAATGTGCTTACATGTTATCATAAAAAATTGGGAAGTTGATAATGTGCTTCATCAAAGATGTATTTACGTTATTAATAGGAAATTGTAATGACAGGTCCCCTTGCAGGATCACTCTCAGTGGTTGGCCCTCCTGTTCAGTTCCACGGTGACAGAAGGCAGAAGATGATATTGGCCCTGCTGTTGAGCCGCAAACATAGAATGTTGCTTTGGCAGGTACATAATTTGTGAGTTATTGGTGCGGAAATTAACTTTTATTCTTTATCCTGACGTATCTACTTGGGACAATGAAGTTATATTTTTTATCCCCACAGCTAGATGTAATCTAAATTATGAATGGCTATTTTAGTTCACACCAGGTCTAGGACATAGGATGCATGTATCAGTTAGGCTGGAAATCGCTATAGATGTGTAGTATTGTGATGTGCACATGTGTATATTTTAGAACTATATATATTCTGAAAATTACAATTCCGAGTATTGCTGCAACGGGTCAAAGGAAGAAGCAGGCCACGGAAGAAGTTTAGACTAAAGTGGAGAGAAGAATTTTACACTTGCGTATATCCGGCTGGCTGCAACGGGCAGGGCGGGCTGTACCAGTGGGGATCTCCCGACGGGATGCCACGCTGCGAGGGCAGGGTCCTGGGCGTTCCGTGGCGTCGCTGCCCTGGCGACCTTGCTGGGCGTTCCGTGGCGTCGCTGCCCTGGCGACCTAGGGGAAGGATGCTCGGCAACAATGGCGATGACGTTGGCGATGGTGCGACGATGCGATGACGAATTAATTTTGTTTCCTTATTTTACCAGGAGAACAACGTGGTGCGATGGTGCGATCACGAATTATTTTGTTTCCTTATTTACCAGGAGAACAGCATGATTGTAGGGGGTGGATGGGGGGTGCTGGAGGTGGAGCACGGTCAGTCAAGGGTATTTCCTAAGTCCACACCGTACAGGCAGCAAATGAATGATGGCTGTTAGATTTAGATGTGCGGGTATAATTGTGTGGTGCTGATTGTTTCGTGCGTTTTGTGAGATAAATTGCCGGGTGTACTTATGGAAGTTCTTGTTTGCTTGTTTATTAGTAGTAGAGAAGAGATAGAGAAGAGATAGAGATAAACACGACCCCGCCCGGCACGCATCGATCCACCACATCACACAGTTCGCCACCCCTCCCTGCATCTCTCTTCCACACCTCGCCGCAAGCATGACGGCGAAAGTGTCCGGCTGCCGGAAGCGCGGGGCGGAGGCCTTCATGGAGGACCCCTTCGCGGCGCTCCCGCCGCTGAACGCGAAGAGGGGGCGATGCTCGCCGTCCGCCGCCGCCGACGTGGCGGAGCTCGGGGTCAGCATGGACTTCGACCCCGTCGACGCGCTCCAGCTCATCTTCCCCGGCGCCGACCCGCAGGTACGTACCTTGGCCGCTGCGCCCTATGTTTCTTCTGCTTTTACTTCTGCTGATTCTTAGTAGATCATGTACAACACCGACTAAATTGATCACAAAATCCCCTCGCGAATCAACTGAAAAAGGTTGAATCCTGATGCAAACTTTTCTCTGAGGAAAAAACAACATCCTGATCCAAATTTATTCTGAGAGAGCCGTCATCAGGTAAAAGTAAAATCAGCGTCGGTAAAATAATTTGACAGTCAGATCACCATCCAACGGACAGGATCACGTTGCAACTGTTGTCTTCAATCTCCAATCGTCCTGTCGCTCGATCCACTGCAGGCCGGGCAGCTTGCTGCCACCACGGCCGGCCGGCGGAGCTCCGGCGATCGCCCCGCTGTTCCGCCCTCCGCGTCATCACCCACGGCCATCCCTCTTAGCCTCCCGAGCAGTTGACTTTTCCGGCGAGCCCGCATACCCTCTCACCCCAATCTGCTTCTCTCGCCCTAGCGCCACCGTCTTCGACCTTGGAGCTGACACGAAAATTGACCGACGCGATTCACGTTTTGAGGTACATGAGAATTAGAAAAAACCATTATTTTAAAAGTCTGGAAAGGGAAGGCAGGCCCCTGCCTTGTTTATCCATACCCCCTTTTGAGGAAGTAGATCAATCATACTTCCTCTGTTTTTATTTACTCTGCATAAATATCTTTTACAAAAGTCAAACTTTATAAAGTTTAACCAATTAAGTTTATATAAAACTATTTGAACATTTACATTAAAAGGTACATATGATTTGAAAATATATTCGATGATGATTCCAGTTGTATTGGTTTGGTATTATAAATACTAGCAAACTTTTATATAAACTTGATCAAAGTTTACAATGTCTGACTTAAGACAAAGCTAATATGGAGAGTAAATAAAAACAGGGCAGTAGTAGAGTTCATCAAGGTAAATGGATATGCTATTCCTCGGGCAACTGAAAATTTGTTTGGATCGGTGGATTTTCTATGAAGAGAGCAACACAACACTGAGCTCAAGGGGACATCGCAGCTTGCTGTGGCGTCGCCAGCAAGGGCTTCTAAGGACCTTGTCGAAGGCAGAAATGACGAAGGAGAGGAAGTGGGTTCGCTGGTTGGGCTTTTTAATTTCGACCCCCCTGAGATTAGGCAGCGCTCAAGCTTGAGCCGGGACACCACGACCTGCCTCGATGTCGTCAGCGAGGGCTCGCGAAGACCAATCATCAAGCTGTAGACGATGTAATTCGGAAGAATCATCCACGGCCATTTCTCTCGCGGAAGGAGGTCATGAATCACCCATGAGGATTATTCCTCTGTTTTGTGGGATCATTTGACCACTACACACTTTTGCCTCGACAGATTGCCCGCTACTTTGGATCTTCAGAGATGATGACTGAAATAAGTATTCAGCAAAAAAAAAAGGATTGAACTAAGAAACAGTAGCATGTGTATCAAAGTTGTCTGGTGGAAAACATCTAGGCCGAGGTTTTCTTGAATCCTGACATAACATTGGTTCATGTCACCATGGTGGAGACTTGAGAACCCTGGTTCATACAGTATTGCTCAGTAGGCATCTAATGGGTTATTCTGGGGATTTTTTTTAGCTTCTTCGAGGCTATTTCGAAGCGTCGGGAAATGTCTTGGATGCTGCAATCAGAGGCTTCAAGGATTATTTGGCGTCGGGTTCAGCACCGACCAATGCTCATGCGGCCTCATCTGGCGGTATGGTTGCACGACATTATGAATATTGTTCAAAATTGAACCTGGCCGTTTCTTCCTCATGTTGCCTGATGATTATGTCAGGTGATATAGACGAATACTAATCTTACGATGTCCATACTGTCTAACTCAAGTTGTTCATATGTCGATGATTGTTAATCGCAGTGGCATCTGATGTCCCGGTGATGAAGATGAATAATCTGAGAAACGGCACTGAATGGGCGGAGCTAATTGTCAAGGAGATGTCAGCTGCTTCAGATTTGATCGACGCCAAGAATCGAGCCTTCAGGATACTTGAATTGTTCGACAAATCTGCCGCAGACTGCAATACTCCTGATGAAAAGCAGAAAATGCGTGAGGTAACTGATGCATCTACCGTTGATTGATACACGCCCTGTTGATAATTATGACAAAGTATTTTGCTAGTCCAAGTTCAGACACTGACAGTAAATCACAACCATAAGACACCAATTGATACATGATACTGCTAAATCCCATGTTACTTCTGGGATGTTACTCTGGAAATACCAATGTGCTCATCTGTCCTCGATCCATCCAGGAGCACAAGATACTGAAGCAGATGCTGGGAGGCCTGCTACACCAGAACGGCGTCCTGAAGAGGGCCTTTCTTATCCAGCACAACCGGCTCAAGGACTACCAGGACATGGTGCAGGAGCGGTCCCAGTTCAAGGAGATCGTCGACAAGTACCAGCAGCAGATCAAGGCGCTAGAGGTATGCAAAACTCGCCGAAAACGTATCGCTTTATTCTGCATATCATCTCCACTACAGGCTTTGCTTTGCTCATCAGCTCTTTGCGTTGCATTTGGTTGCAGGATAGGAACTATGTGCTGTCGTTGCATCTCGCGCAGTCGGATCATCGGAGTGGCATATCTGGGCACCGCAACCCCGACATCTTCTAGGCGTCTACTGCATCCTGCTGGATTCGGATGCGAGACCCTGAAGCTGTGATTGTTGAAGAAATCATGAATACAAGAAAACATCTTTGTGTAGTTATGTTGACACAATATATATGTGTGGTGCGATCGTTTCGAATTCGTATCGGTAGCATTGAGGAGCATTTGTGAACTCGTATCTGGTTGGCTCAAAGAGATGCAACAAGTGACAAGCTCAAACTAACAAATAAGACTATGAATAATGATTGATCTGATGATGCATACTCAAACGGCATACTCAAACTAACAAACAAGTGACAAACTCAAGTTTTGGAACGGAGCTAGCAAGCATCTGCTAGCTTCTCAAACGGCATCAATAACCTCACCATCTTGAGAGCAACAGCTACATCTGCTAGCTCCTACATAAACCCAGACCGATTGGTTCCAAGCCATAGCCATGGCGGGGAACCACGAGAACCATGGCCTGCTTTTGGCCGGTGCCATCCTGCTTCTCACTCTTCTCCTCGTCTTCGACCTCAGGCGGCGTCGCAAGAAGTATGGTGGCTTGACGCTGAACCCGCCTCCGGGGCCGTGGCAGCTGCCGGTGATCGGCAGCATGCACCACGTCGTGGGCGCGCTCCCTCACCGCGCCATGCGCGACCTCGCCCTCCGGCACGGCCCGCTCATGCTGCTCCGCATGGGCGAGCTCCCCGTCGTCGTGGCCTCGTCGGCGGCCGCGGCGAGGGAGGTGATGAAGACCCACGACGCCGCCTTTGCCTCGCGGCCGAGGACCAACACCTTTGCCACGCTCACCAAGGATGGCCTCGGCGTCGCCCTCGCGCCGCTCGGAGATCACTGGCGCCGCGTCCGCAAGCTCTGCGCCACGGAGCTGCTAGGCGCGCCGCGGGTCCGGTCGTTTCGGTGGACGCGCGAGGCCGAGGCGGCCGCCCTCGTCGCGTCCGTGACCGCCGCGGCGGCGTTTGGGGACGTTGTGAACGTCAGCTCCCTCGTCACCACGTACGTCGTCGACGCCGTGGTGCGCGTCATGGTCGGCGACCGGATCACCGACCGCGAAGCCTTCCTGGCGTGCCTGGACGAGGCTGTCAGGGTGGCCGCTGGGTTCAGCCTCGCCGACCTGTTTCCGTCGTCGCGCCTCGCGCGTGCACTCAGCAGGACGGCGCGCCGCGTGGAGGCGGTGTTCGGAGAGATGTCCCGGCTGATGGACACCGTCATCAAGGAGAAACGCGCGAGGAAGGCGGCGGGCGTCGGCCGCGAGGAAGAAGAGGATATCCTTGACGTGCTTCTGGACGGCGGCGGCGACGGTGTGCCTCTCTCCATCGAGACCGTCCGTGCTATGATGAGGGATCTCTTCGGGGCCGGTAGCGAGACCTCGGCGTCGACGCTGCTGTGGGCCATGGCGGAGCTGATGCGGGAACCGGCGGCGCTCCGGAGGGCTCAGGCGGAGGTGCGCGGCGCGCTCGCCGGGCAAAGCCGCGTTCGGGAGGAGTCGCTGCAAGAGCTGCCGTATCTGCGGCTGGTGATCAAGGAGACGCTCCGGCTGCACGCAACGCTGCCGCTGCTGCTCCCACGGGAGTGCCGGGAGGCCAGCCGCGTCCTCGGGTACGACGTGCCCCAGGGCGCCATGGTGCTGGTCAACGTGTGGGCCATCGGCCGGGACGCGGTGACCTTTGGCTCGGACGCCGAGGAGTTCCGGCCGGAGAGGTTCGAGGAGGGGGCCGTGGCGGCGCTGGACTTCAGGGGGACAGACTTCGAGCTCGTGCCGTTCGGCGCGGGGCGGAGGATGTGCCCCGGGATCACGTTCGGGCTCGCCGTCATTGAGCTCGCGCTCGCTAGCCTCCTCTTCCATTTCGACTGGGAGCTCCCCGGCGGCACGACGGAGCTGGACATGGCGGAGGCGTTGGGGATCACGGCGAAGAGGAAGAGCGACCTGTGGCTTCATGCTACCGTCATCATACCACCTCTGTAAATGAGTTCGTATTTGGAGATCGATCAACGTACGTGTGGGTGTACGGTCGATCGTCTAGTTTGCGTCTCTGCAAATTTGTCTCAAAATTCATATGAATGCATGTGGTAAATTATTTCACTTTTGCGTCCTGTGGAAATTCTTGAAATAGTACATGTTAATGAGAGAAGTGCGAAAATGCCAAATGAAGACCGAGCTCCATGAAAACCTTATTTGGAAAACTTCAAAATTCAAACTTTCCAGCTTCAAAAAATTCTGCAAAAAAATACACATATACCTAGATGAATATTGTACATATGCGCAAATTTTCAGACCGGAATACATTAAAATGAGATATACACACAAAAAAATCTGGGGCCTTTTAGCATATAACTATTCATCTTCAAAGTCCATGATTTTAATTTTTTTGTGCAGCTCGCAATTCAAGGCAAATTTTTGGCACATAGTACACTTCACATCCTTGCATACTTGTGTATTTATTTTCAGAATTTTTTAAAACTGAAAATTTTGAATCTTTATTTTTCAAAATAAAGGCCTTTATGGAGTTGGCCAGTTCGGCCCTCAAAATGCCCTGCTCAGAGAAGTGAGTATTTCAACCCTAAAATGTAGGGATAGCTTAATTTACGGGACTGGCTAGTGGTAAAGTGACTGGATTTTTTATTTGGGTCAGTTATTTTTTCTTTGTCAAAAGGGCAGGCGTACATCCTGGCCACGAACTGCAGTCGAACGTGGTATACTCGCGTCCACACCCATCGAGTCAGTGCGCCAGCACCTGAAGTATATACATTTGTGCTCTTATTAGTGACCTTTTCGTCATCCCAGTATACATCATGTAGACATTTATGTTGGAAATATGAGCAAATTACTACGAGATTTAATCCGAATAAACAGAAGATAAATCATAACTACATCAACAGAGATTAAACTAATCATGTGAACTAGCATAGCAGATGAACAGATCACATCTAGGGCACATATTAGAAACATGAATTTTACCACGATCTCGAACAGGAAGGATAGAATCACATACGGTGCAGCGGGAGCAACACCGCCGGCGTTGACATTGTCACCCATGTCGTCGAGGACGAGGTTGCCGAGGTCAGGAAAGAAGTCGTCGTTCGCGAAGTCGTCGCTGCCAGCAGTCGCGCGAGTGCGCTCCCCAAAAACCTGATCGCCCCTCTCCCGTACAGGATCACGAGAGGCGGGGTTCCGGAGGCCTGCTGTCCCTTCTCGCGGTGCACGCCGGAAGGAGGGATGGAGAAGACTTGCTTGGCGGCGCAATGATCTGGAACGGTGATGAGAAACCATACGAAGCGGCGGCGGCTAGGGTAGACGTCTGCCTGACTATATAATGCGGGCCGGGTAGGTCGTGGGAATAAACCCCACGTCCGAGTTGTCACGATCCAAAAGAATCGGAAACGGTTCAGTAATTAACACGTCCGTTAATTATTAATTTTCCCGAGCAGCAAAAATATAGACAATGTGCATAGCTCTGTCCTCGGCTCGGCTCAATCCCGCAACCCGCGGCGTGTCGTGACGAGGCGTGACATGGCGTGGCGTGGCGAGGAGGAGGAGCGCGCGTGTAGGTCTTTTCTTCTCATGCTCATACAAGTGGTAGAAGAACTCACCTTATAAAAAGGTGCAACTCTCTCTCAACTTCCGGCGTGGGACTAAACTTTAGCCTCACTCACTCCACTCACATGTGTGCATGAATGGGCCAAGAGAATTTCAGAATTTTAGTTGGGCTTTGGGCCAAAGGCCTACTAGCAAAATTCCAACAATCCCCCACAAAGTCTCATTGGCACATCTCATCATTTAGTTCCAAAATATTGTTTATATACCGGTGCTTAGTAAAGACTGTGAAGTTAAACTTCCACTTAGAGATTTATGTTACACTAGATCACAACTTGAATAATGGACTATACCTTGAACTACAAGTTTTCTGCGAGACTAGTTTCACACAAATTCTTGACCGATACTTGGCTGCCGTAAGGCTTCCCTGCGGATGGAGCGTATACGTCACACTCCAGGGCCTTTTCATGAATTTATTAGAGAACACTCAATTCTCACAGACTGCGACGTTAACAGTCAAATTCATATAGGTGTGTTCCTCAGAAGATGTTCTGCAGGACAACATCTCTGTTTACCCGAATAAGCCACTTGGAGCACATTAAGATAAGTATCAACCTGCCATGCAGATCAGGAGAGTATTGCATCTTCACGGAGTGGGATAGTTAATATAGGGATACTCTCCTCCCAGCTGACCAACAGCTTGTCTCCCACTTCTACTTCACGGGATCTCCGATCACATAGAGTGGATTACCACTATGGACAACTCATGCGGTGGGTCTCAAACCCATCTCCATCGATGCATTATCTATCACATTACGTGATAGACCCTTTGTGAAGGGATCTGCCAAGTTTTTCGACGTCTGAATATAATCCAACGTAATAACTCCGGAGTTCCTCAATTTTCTGACAGATTTTAGTCTCCTCTTCACATGTCTTGAGGACTTCATATTGTCCTTCGAACTGTTTATCTTGACGATCACAGTTTAATTATCACAGTTCATGAGGATATGGGGTATTGGTTTTTCAACCATAGGTAAGTCCATCAAGAGTTCACGAAGCCACTCTGCTTCAACAATGGCAGTGTCCAATGCTATGAGTTCTGCTTCCATAGTTGACCTCGTTAAGATGGTCTGCTTGCAAGACTTCCAGGAAACAGCGCCACCACCAAGTGTAAAAACATAACCACTTGTGGCCTTTATCTCATTAGCATCAGAAATCCAGTTTGAGTCACTATAACCCTCCAGTACCCTTGGATACCCGGTGTAGTGAATCCCATAGCTCGAGGTGCCTTTCAAATAGCGCATAACTCTCTCAAGCGCATGCCAATGATCATCTCCCAGTTTTGACAAAAACCAACTCAGCTTGCTCACAGCAAAAGAGATGTCAGGCCTCGTGGCACTCGCCAAATACATAAGCGAACCAATAATCTAAGAATACCTCAGTTGATCTCTAGCAATTTGTCGATTCTTTCGAAGCAACACACTAGCATCATATGGAGTTGGAGAAGGTGTGCAGTCGCTATACCCAAAACGACTCAAGACCTTTTCCATATAGTGAGACTGAAGCAGTGTGATCCCACCATTCTCATCTCTCAACAGCTTGATGTTTAAGATAACATCAACTAATCCTAGATCCTTCATCTCAAAACAGCAAGATAAGAAATCCTTAACCTCCTTGATTAAATCAAGTTTGGTTCCAAATATCAATATGTCGTCGACATACAGACAAAGAATAACTCCTTCGCCCCTACCATAGCGATATTACACGCACTTGTCACCATCGTTTACTACAAAGCCGACAGCAATTAATGTTCTTTCGAACTTCTCATGCCACTCCTTAGGAGCTTGTTTAAGGCCATATAAAGACTTTAATAACTTGCACACCTTTCCTTCCTGACCAGGTACTACAAAACCATCTGGCTGATCCATGTAAATTTCCTTCTTCAACTCTTCATTGAGGAAAGCTGTCTTAACGAACGAGAAGACCATGTGAGGCAGCCAGTGATAGTAGCACCCGAATTGTGGTCAGTCTAGCCACGGGTGAGTAAGTATCAAAGAAGTCTTCACCTTCTTTCTGTGTATAACCCTTGGCCACAAGCCATGCCTTGTACTTTTCAATCGTACCATCAGGTCTAAGCTTCTTCTTGAACACCCACTTACATCCTACAGGTTTGCACCCATAAGGACGGTCAGTGATCTCCCAGGTATCGTTAGCTAAGATGGAATCCATCTCGCTACGTACAACTTCCTTCCAGTAGTCAGCATCAGGAGATGCATAGGCTTCTGAAATAGTCCTGGGTGTGTCATCCACGAGGTACACAATAAAATCATCACCAAAGGACTTTGCAGTCCTCTGTCTCTTACTCCTCACAGGAGTTCCATTGTCACCCTCAACAAGATTCTCAACGTGTTCCATCGCAATGGTGGGTTCAGGAATTACAGTGAATTCCTCACTAGATGGAGTAGGTATCTCCTGATTTGATGAACTCGACATATCCTTCATAGGAAATATGTCCTCAAAGAAAGTTGCATCATTTGACTCCATAATCGTACCAACATGCATGTCGGACACCTCATATTTTATTATCAAAAATCTATAGCCGATGCTATGAAAAGCATAGCCCAGAAGAACACAATCCACGGTTTTTGGTCCAAGCTTGCGCTTCTTGGGAATTGGTATATTGACTTTTGCCAAACAACCCCAAGTACGTAGGTAAGAGAGTTTCAACCTTTTCCTTTCCCATTCCTCAAATGGAGTCATGGTCTTATGCTTTGTGGGAACCCGGTTTAGGACATGACACGCAGTCATTAGCGCCTCCCCCGACCATTCCTTGAATAGACCCGAAGTGTCTAACATGGTGTTAACCATATCAGTTAGAGTTTGGTTCTTTCTTTCGGCTACCCCATTTGACTGGGGTGAGTAGGGAGGCGTCCTCTCATGGATTATACAATATTCCGCACAAAACAGATCAAATTCATTAGAAAAATACTCTCCACCACGATCGGACCTAAGCCGTTTAATTTTTCGATCAAGTTGGTTCTCTGCCTTAGCTTTATAGTTTTTGAAGAAAGTCAAAGCCTCATCTTTTGATTTCAGAAGATACACATAACAATATCTAGTGGAGTCATCAATCAACGTCATGAAGTATCTCTTTCCATCTTTTGTCAACACGCCATTCATCTCACAAAGATCAGAATGTATAAGCTCTAGTGGTGCCAAGTCTCTTGCCTCTGCAGTCTTATGGGACTTGCGAGGTTGCTTAGCTTGCACACATACTTGGCACTTAGAGCCCTTGACAGGAGAGATTTTCGGAATTAAATTCATATTGGCTAGCCACGTCATGCATCCAAAGTTAATATGACAAAGTCGTGAATGCCAAATATCAGACTCATTATTGTGGCAAACATTATTAATAACTTTAGTGCAAATAT